AGTCCTTGTCAAGTTTCCGAACAGTGAAAAACTGAAATGATTATGTTTAAGATGAAATACTAAATTAAGTAAAATTAAAACTGAAATAAAAATGAAAGATATAGACAAATTTGTAATATTTTAATATTTTTTTATATTTTATTAAAATAAAAAAATGACAATAGTATGACAAAATTGCTAATTACTAATGAAAACTGAAAATATAAAAATGAAAGCTAATTCAAATGATTAAATACTGTACTATACAATACTACAGTACTAAAATATACAATACCACAATACTAACATATCACTGTCATTTACTCACCATCAAACCTGTATGACTTTCTTTCATGTTTTCATAGAAAACAAAAGATGATGTATTGAAAAATGTCTTTTGTCCAATATGCCTTACAGTCTTACAAACTTCATTGGCATGCACTGGATAAAACATGTAATATCTAATATCCTAGATCGCATGTAATTTTCACAACACACAATTTTCAAAACTGTTTTATGGCGCTTTTGTCTATACTGAATGTTTTTTTAGAAAGATGTTTTGTCAGCTGAACAATTGGCATGTTGTTAAACTACTAATCTATTGAACACACTGTACTTCTATCCCTCACAGCCTCATTTGCATTCTGTCATGAATTAAATATGGCGCTACCCTAAATAAGGTCTACATTGTTTTAGACCCCAATGTTCATCAAAATATCTTTTTTTTTTTTTCATTTTTGCATGAACTATTTTATATCACTCTATTTAGTAGCCACATTACATATGCTACAGAAAATATATTTTATACACAGCTGTAATGCTTTCACAAAGCTGATGCACTAATAACAATACTTGTATTGATCAAATAAGATTGAAAACTGCTAACATGTGGGTTTGAATTACAATTGTGGGCAAACTGATCCAAATGGAGAATACAAAGAATAATAAAAGTTATATTACAAAAGGAAGTGAGATTCAAGGTCACAGGCGAAGATATTAACTATATTGAGAGAGGGTAAAAAGCATTCTCTATTAATATGAAATTAATATTGACTAAAGGGACTGTAACACGAAGACTCAGGCTTGAAAATGGTCCTGTTTATGGCCCTGTTTGTGTCGTTATTACCCTTCCTGGTCCTCTGGGTGCATACAGGCCTTCTGAGAATGTTGTAAAAGGCTTTAATCAACAGAGGCAAACGGATTGTAGTGATTACAGAGAGGTCAGAGGGTTCACTGTATCGAACAGTTCACCTGAGTTCAAGCTAAATGAGATGCACAGCGCTGTTTGAATAATTAAGGAAACACTATATCAGGTTACCATGGCAGATCGAGCCCTGCAGCAAACCTTACGGTAACCACAGAGTCATGTATATTCACACTGTGACCTCTTAACAATAGAATTAGCTCTGCTTAGTTTCTGCGAGGTTCACAGAAATAGTGGACACCCGCAAGGACTGGCAGTTTTCCACAGACGGCCGAACTGTTGTTGGACAAGCGGAGGAGGGTTAGGTAAAGGTTATATGAAACACTGTAGCCAGAAGGCCCACTTCTCTCATCAATAATCTGATTCAGTGACAAAGGACTGCAAGCTCCCAATTCAGTTAGTGACCAAGGCCCCAGAGGCAACAGGCACATGTGCTGGCTATTGGAAATCAATACAAGGTATATAATGATGCTCAGGTCAAGCCGTTACATTTGGTGCAGAAATGTGTAGTAAACATCTTTTCATCTGTGGTCAGTTGAAGCCGGCTGGCCCCTCTCCATCCAGAGTATGATTGCATTTTCCCTGTGGGCTCACAGAACAGTGAAGTGTGATGATCTTACGGCAATCTGCAACATCGTTTAAAGGGTCACTGAGCTGCTACTGTTGAGCTGAACAGAAAGGGTCGCTCAAAAAAAGAAAAAGAAAAGAAATTTGCTGAAAAATTACTCGCTCTCAGGTCATCCAAGATGTAGAAGTTTGTTTCTTCATCAGAACAGATTTTGAGAAATTTAGCATTGCATCAGCTGAATGGGTGTTGAATGGGTTCGAACAGCTAATAAAAACATCACAATAATCCACAAGGAATTGATTTGGCTCCAGTCCATCAGTTAACGTCTTGTGAAGTGAAAAACTGTGTGTTTATAAGATGTGTGTTTTATTAGAAACAAATCCATCATTAAGGGGTTTTAACTTTAAAATGTCGCTTCTAGCCAAAATATGAGTTCATAATAACACTTCCTTCAGTGAAAAAATCCATCCCCTGTTGTCCTCTCACATCAAAATGTGAACTGCTTTGGACTTATAAATGATGTTTATTGCACATTTCTCTCCTGTTTCAAATGAGACTACTTTTTCACTGCAGAAATATTAAAAGATAAAGAGCCCATACTTTAGACAGAAGTTTAGCAAGTTAAAAATGTCTTCATGATGAATTAGCTTTTTACAGATATGTAGCTTTTCACTTCACAAGACATTCATTGATGGGCTAGAGTCGTATGGATTGCTTGTGGATTATTGTGATGGTTTTATCAGCTGTTTGAACTCTCATTCTGACGGCACCCATTCACTGCAGAGGATCCATTGGTGAACAAGTGATGTAATGCTAAATTTCTCAGAATCTGTTTTGATGAAGCAACAAATTCATCTACATCTTGGATGGCCTTGGATGAGAGTGAGTATTTTCATTTTTTGATGAACTATTACTTTAATATTTTTTATTATTGCCATAGTAATGTCCATCTGTACAAAACATGATTTTTCATTCCAAAAATATCCTGTTAAATTTATGGTAGGTAAAAAAAAAAAAAAAAGGAAAAAAAAAGTTGTGACTACTAGAAATTAACAATATGATGATAATGTTTGCATTATTACGGGATGTAATATTGGTGCACTCTCAGAAAAATTGTGCAAAAATTGTACCTTTACAACAGCTTGTCACTGGGGCAGTACCCTCAAAGGGACAACTTTGTACCTAAAGGGTCCATGTTAGTTCCATAAAAGTACATATTACTACCTCAAGGGTCCATATTACTACTCTAATGTACTTATATTCACCCTTTAGGCATAAAGAAGGTACAAAGGTGTTTGTGTGTGTGTGTGTGTGTGTGTGTGTGTGTGTGTGTGTGATATATATATGTTAACACACACACACACACACACAGTAGTACATATATATATATATATATACACACACACACACACAGTAGTACAACAGGTCTCCAGACTGCGACCAAATGGTTTTTCTGTCTGTGCGACTAATTTTTGTGAGCGCAACCACCGCGTTGTCCAGCTCATAAGCGCTGCCATTTCTGTTGCATTTGAGAAACATAAAATGGCAAGCGAAATGAAAGCGAAACAAATCGCGCTACGTTTGAGCTGCGCAGCGCAGACTGTTTATCAGCTCGGACCGCGACGCAAACAAACTTGTCCGATGCAAAATTAAGATGTCCCGACATACTGGCAGCAATAAATTAGATATGGGCCTAAAATAAACGACAAAGTCTTGCATAAAAATATTCAGATCTCTGTAACAATGATGATGATGATCAAGTTTCCTAACCCTTTTTTTTTTACAATTAATTTACATGACCTTTCCAGTAGGCTAGGCTAATTCATGGTTTCTGCATAAGTACCCCAAAAGGCTTTCTGAATATCTATGCAGAGCAGAACCAAAGAAATTAGCATTCACTACAGAAATGTCCATGACTTTGAACATTTTATTACATTTCCATGATATTTCGAAGCATGGAAATTAGGCTACAGTTTTAATAATTATGTAATGTTGATTTTCCATAACGACGAGAGTCCTTGATTATGATAATGCAGCTGTCTGTGGCTGTGCTGCAGAAAACAATATATATATATTTTTTTCTTGTTGTTTTTGGTGATGAACTTTGTCAAAATGGCAAGCGAAATGAAAGCGAAACAAATCGCGCTACGTTTGAGCTGCGCAGCGCAGACTGTTTATCAGCTCGGACCGCGACGCAAACAAACTTGTCCGAACTCAGCACAGTTTTACTCGGGAGCCAAAGTTGATTTCGCGACACTGTCACTGCACAGATGCAACAGTGCTGCGAGATCCATCCAGTAAGAAGCGTTTGAATTCACCGCACAATGATAAGGTTGCTTTCACACAGTACTGAGAATCATTCAAATTCTGCACAGAATTATCTGTTATGAACAGCGCTGACATGTCAGGAAACCAGAAGCGGTAACGCTAACTGTAACCGTGGTGTTTTGGTAGAAATAGTCGAATGCACATCAGTCATTTCAGGCTTTGTACAACCTTTTGAGAGAGAAATTCAAGCACTTTTCAATGACTTTCGAGCATTTCACACAACTATTTCCAGCAGTTTAAAGCTCTAAAATTATCCAGTTTGAATGTTATTTACTTTGTGGTAAACAAACACGTATGTAAAATAAAATAAAAAATACATCAATTCACAATTATAACCAGTAGACGGCAGCAGAGGAGCACTTATTGGCTTATTAATCATTCATTTCTACTTGTTCTCTATATTTTGAAATGATAAAATCACTATTATACAATATCAAATCATCAAGAAATCAGATTTTGTCAGAATTTTACACTTTTTTTGTGTATGAAGTAAGAAAAGTCACAAAGTGCCTTGAAAAACAAACTTTTCAATTTGCTACTAAATCATACATAATCACTGAAGTTGGCCAGTTCTATATACTAGAAGGATAATGGTACATTTAATAAGAGTGGAATATATACATTTTCTATATAAAAATTAGATTTTGCACCTGTTACTGTTATTAATAAAAGTACATTTTGAATGCATCTTAACTCAAGCTTAGTGCTTTACTGTCAAATCTGTATAATCTATAATCAAAAGAAAAATAAACAAGAAATGAACATGTAATATTATTAGTAACTGTGTTGTTTTTGGTGATGAACTTTGTCACCCAGATCGCTCTGAGGCTTCGGCTACGGCTAAGCGTCTGCTCGTCGGTTCGGCTGTGTTCGGGTGACTCCGTGAATAACGGACTCTCCTCCATTTTGCATAGTTACGCGTGTGTGTCGAAGGCTGCTCTGCTCCTGCGATCGGTATCACACCGTGAAGAACGTTTTTCCTGCAATGGACGGGTAAGTCTGCGTTGTTTACAGAATAAGAGAAAAAAATTGCTATTTTTGAGAGTAGCTTAAATTAATTCTGAAACGATTTTGGTCGCAATCTTGAGCGGTCTGACAAGGCCGTTCGCGCAGACTGGTGATGCATAAGCCAACGTTGGCTAATAATAACAAATGCATGCTAGCTCCGCAGATCATATTTTACCGCTAAATATATGCGTTGTGTATACAGAATGTCAAATAGCAACCTGCAGAATAATGTAACATCAGTCTATGAAGTGTTTCTTATAATGTGAACAACAGTGACATGTAATGTAGCGTAGCTCCGCGGCTAACGGTACTGTTGCTGCGAGTGCAGGCGCGTCTGATTTCTTTTGTTTGAAATGTAACGGTCACTCGTTCCACCCACGAGCTGAATATTAATTTGTCGTTACAGAATACGACTTTATTATGCACAAATTGCGTTTCAAAACTCAATTTTCTACGTGCACTATTAACCTTCTTATAACAAACTGCTGATAATACTGTCCATATTGTTGTACAATTAATATTTGTAATTGAGAAATTAGTGCACTGATGACATGTGGTGTGGTGTGGCATGGATGTGTATGTGATTTCGAAAGTGTAACAGAACATACAGCCCAGAATTCATTGGCATTGTTCTATTTTCTCCCTTCAGCATTGCAAGTGATGTTGCAGTTGGTGTGAAGGTAAGTGTTTTGTTTTTCTTTTCTTGTCTTCAATTGTATCAAAACATATGCAACAAATCTGAGAGAGTAACCGCCTCCACAGGTCCATATTATCCTGGGATATTGTGAACAATGGAATAATGCAAAGTTGTATGACTTAAACATCATTTTAATTATTTGAATGATTTACTGAATTTGCAGTGTACATCTGTGTCTTTCTAGAGAAGCTCAGATGAATTGCTGTCTGGCAGTCTGTACAACAGTCCAAATTCTTCAGTCACTGGTAAGAGGAGGGAAGACAATTGTAAACTGGGTTTTAAAGATGCATCATTATAGATTTGTGTGTGTGTCTGTGTGTAATTGATAACCAAAAACTAAGTTCACAAGGAATACAAATAATGAAAATTCCACAGAAACCACAAATTTGAGAACTGTCATTCACAATACCCCCATTAGGCTACTTATAAGTGTCTAGAACGTAGTACCATATTAACCCTTTCACATATGAGTTTAAAATATTCTAATAGGTTGTTTGCACATGACTTCACTGATGATGCTGAAATGCAGCTGGAGGGCAGGAAGTGATTTTTCTCTCCATAGGAATCACTAGCAGAAACTCAAAATGCCAGTGTTTTGCATTGTTTATGGATGCTTAAATTGGCTAAACCGAGAAACCACAAGGAGTTTTTATCGTGTACGAAAATGTGTTGTTCATAAGTGGGGAAAAGTCAAGAAATTGATTGAAAAACGCAGGAAAAAGTGGCTTGTAAACCTGTGTCTGCGGTCGGGAGGAGCGAAGCTCGTGTGATAATAATGCTTGTGCGTGTAAGAATCACGTGATTGCAAACAACCCCCACCCCAAGCATAAGTTTTTTTTTTTTAAAGCAGCACTATGTAACTTTTTCTGTGTTCAAAATTTGCAAATTGTATATAATGAGCGAGTACATCATGAATTCATCTTCCAAACCCCGTTTTTGTCTTATTCCAAATCACTACAGTACACTTATAATAAGTACTTATATTTCGACTATTGTAGCCTGGTCGGGTCGTCACCGCTGCGGAGTAACACATACCTGCGTGAATCGCCATAGACATAAACTTAGAGAAGTAGCTCCGGTTGGAATGTTCTTCCACGGGATGTGTGCAGTTCTGTTTATTAACCGCTAGAGCGCCAAAAGTTACATAGTGCTGCTTTAAGACAACTGTTATTTTAGATCGTATCAACTTATTGTTTCCATGGCGACGCTTGATGTTTGACATGTGACACGCCGCAGCCACAATAGCGCTGCTTGACAGATGTATCACTTTTGTTTAATTTTTCCTGTTCTATTTAAAATACTCACAAGCTAGTCAACTGTCATCAACTATCTGATATTTCGATTCTCAAATACTTGTAAGTGAATGTGTCATTTGCAAACCTTTATGGACACTGCCATGGTAGTTTGCGCTGTAATTCAGAGAATCATATCTGTCTGATTCACACCACGTAAATTCATCCATTTCTCATGAAATACATGAAAGTAAGTGGCCAGTGAACTGGGAGAAGAATAGAGTGGCCATTATAGTTACCTACACAATGTGTATCTGATATGAATAAAACACATTGTCAAATTATAATTGAACGGATTGATATTGCTGCTTCTGTTGACATCAGTGTGTATTTTACAAACTATAAATATATTGTTTTGCTAGTACTTATGTGTATTTAAAGGGTTAGTTCACCCAAAAATGAAAATTCTGTCATTAATTACTCACCCTCATGTCGTTCCACAGTCCTAAGACCTTTGTTCATCTTCAGAACACATATTAAGATATTTTTGATCAAATCTAATGGCTCAGAGAGGCCTCCATTGACAGCAACGCCACCCACACTTTCAAGATCCATAAAGGTACTAAAGACGTTAAAACAGTCGACGTGACTACTAGTGCTGTGTTCAAAATATCGATACGACGATGTATCGTCACAGAGATTTGACGATACGAGTATTGATACAGCTGACCCTGTATCGATATTGTGGCGCGTGTGCAGCAGTGGACCACGCTTAATTTGTTTAAAATTTTACAACGTTTAAAATTGAGTAGAAAAGTGCGAGGTTTCTAAAAAAGAATGAATAGAGCATATATAGGCTACAACAAGGTTTAATCTGGCCGCAGAGGAACACAACTGGTTTGTCTGATATAAAGAGACGTAAACCCCAAAACAGAGCTTTACACTTGCGCAATACGGAAATATCTGAAATAAGTGTGCTACTTATCTTTGTCAACCTGGCAACCATGTGCACGCGCGCTCTCTCCACTGTGGATAAACGCGCTTGCTTTCTGAAAACAC